AAAGTCATACGAGTAAAATTTCAACTATTGAAGGTTTCGCCAGCTTGAAAGTCGTCTCACAAGGTTACGAAATGAACGTTTCAATTTGGAATAGGTAAACGGTATCTTCAAAACTTCGAAGCAGAATTTTGTTCTTATGATTCTTGTTCTCGACTTAGCAGATCTCGCAGTCTTACTGTTTTTATATAGTATTATCAAGTGAGTATTCCGAGTAACCGAGTTCCTTTGGTTGGGTGCTTTAAAACGTTGGTTTGTTTATAATTTAAGGTTATTAATGGCTTTACGGGCAGTAGCATTGGTGTGGAACAATCAAGTTAAATTCGCCCTCGGCAATAAAATGCTATTTTGGTCGGAGTTATAACACTTGTGGTAATCCCGTTTTAATAATTGCACTGTACTTATCAACTTTCTGAGGGATTTAATGGAAGCTAGTTGCCGGGAATAAAACAAAACCGGCCTCCCTGATGGTAAAAGAGTCTATTGGAAACCACTCAAACACAAGCCTGACAGTCCACTTGTGGCTGTTCATGATACGTTTTCGCTTGACTAATCTTCAAGTATAAAATGAGAAACACAGTGTTCTTCCATTCAAAACCCTCGTCAAGGAACAATTGTCTCGTGTGATTTTGATATCAGTTCCTTTACTGGTGAGCATTAACAAAGAAAAAACTATCAGTACCCTCTTTTTCGCGCCATCCCACGGATAGTAGCCGCTGCAAACTTTGCGAATGGCCGGGAAGTTGTCCTCCACGAATGATTTTGTTCAAAAGTTATGTAATCAGGAGAGACATTTTACGATACAAGGTCCACTAATTTTTTTTTCTGATATTTTATCCTTGCAGTTTCATATCAGCTATGTGTGTATAAACTGTCAAGTTGTATTTAAAGTCACATGCAGGCTCCTTTCTCAGACCTCAGTCGGACTAGAGTATTGAGTTTTCTCTCGAGTTACAGATAACTGATGGTTTGCGTGCGTTTTAATTTGAACATCGATTACCCCATGTTTTATTGCCTAAAGCACAACAAACTTCTGAACTGTGGCCGGCGTCACACAAAAGCCAAGCTTTCCGTGAAACCAAGAAGAGTGTATTAACACCACCCATTGTGACAAAAACAGGAAACAGATAATTCGATTAGCCAATTTAAAATTTGTCGAGAAGCTCCCACTTAATCTTTTAACTGCCTCATTTACAACACCTAATCTTGTTAGTTAAAATCAAGTTTAATAATGCGACTCCAGGTGTTAAAAGCCCAAGTTAAAACAATCACTAATTCATACGCTTGCATGATTTCGTTCAAGAGTTTCATGTCAGTAGTTGTCATTATCAAGCATGTGTAAAGTTACTCAGTTAGTTCTATACACATTTTACAACACAATCACTTCACTGGTTGTTTTCGAAATTTGATGGCTAGATAATATGGCATGTTATTTTACTGGACTTGCGGTTACAATTTTAAATTTCCCCAATACTCTTGACACTCTGTCGTACTTTTTTTCCACTATTATTTAATTGGTTGACCTAATCATGTGTATGTCACCTTCAGTCTCGTTTCAGTCCACCATTGACTGATTGCATGACAAAGTTTACTGCACCATATTTTCCTGTTAAGTCGTTTTAATGGTTATATTGTAAAAGCCACGGAACGGCCTTTATGAGCCAATCAGAACACACGCTTAAGACTGTCCTTGATCACGGCTCTTTTGATCCGTAATTAAAATAACGCGAAGGCACATCAAACAACCCGGTTCTCTTTCAGTTTGGCTCTTTCTAGCGTCATCATATACGTGTGCAGTGACGAAGTTAATTAATATGGTATTTATTTTCTTTGGTCAGGATTACAAAATAATATGGTCCATAATCTCTCGGTTAAATAAGTTAGTAATTCAGTTCATACCAGAAAAAAATTTCCTACTTCGTCAGTTTGAAATATTTTGACTGTTTATTTGGAAACCTAAACTTTTGTTAAAACAACCTCCTAGCTTTATCATTACATTTCGAATTTTTAAAAGTTCTTTGAGCACAAATGCAGCTAGGATTCTTAATAGTTCCTGAAATATTCCTTTAGACTAGCAAAGTCTGCCAAAATTAAGGACCTTTTTTACTCTTTAAGACGATTATTTCTGCGCTTATACAACAGGCTGGCCCCAGCCAGAGTTGGAAAATCAAAAGTAAATCAGATCGCCTTCTGCTGTCACCACCATTACTGTCATTGGCTGTTTCGGGGTTTTCATCTTAGGAACCGTGAATTTGAGATTGTTATTTTTACCCCTCTGAGGTCTAGCTCTGACTCTGTGTCAAATGTTGTCTTTACCGACTGACGCAATCGATTTGTCAGTTTTGAAGAGGACTTTTTCACCGAGAAAGGATAAGGAAATTCTACAGCTACTTACACACTGATGAGTGACAAGTGAACAAAGTTATCGACACTATCGACCCCAGTTCAGCCACCTTATTAACGATAGTTTGCGTGCAAGATAATTTGCGTGCATTTACTACTAAACAGACAAAACTTAGTTATAAATGGATAAAGTAAACAACATAGAGCTGTGATAATTTACAACACTTTGATTTGCTTTAAGTCTCGTTACAGAAGCAAACAAACTGCTTATAACACAAAAGGGCTTCCGTGGGGTCTGCTAATTTCGATTCATGTAAGCTTTTGTTATGCACAGATATTGTATTGCAGGTCGTTTAACCCTCTCTATCCTAAGTTTGAATATAAATTCTCTTTCACCTCCGAATAATGGGTAATGTTATGAGAATTTGAAAGTACATCAAGACGATATCTCCTAATTAATTGGAGAGTCTTTGACCATCTCTTTGGTGTAGGTCGGCTGATAATTTTCTTGATTCTCATCACACGTCTCCTTGACAATGTATTGATATCGTATTGGGAAGTTTTGTTTTGATCACAAAGAACAGCATTAGACGATTAAGAAAGGAATTCATTGATTACTGGTCCTTTGAGGCCGTTCTCTTTGAGTATCAATAACTGCGGAACCCAAGGCTTAGCAGAACAATTTTGCCTAATCACTGTAAGGACTGTAAGGTTCTCAAGATCACATACATGTACTCCATTGAATGATTACGATGTTCTTCGTCAAACTTAATAAAATAAATCTGTAGACAGCCACAGCACGTCGGAAACCCATTATTGGATATTTTAATTAAAGTTCCTGCTGGAGTGTTGATTACTCTTAAATTAAAAATCAGTGACTCATGGCATGACCGCGACACAAGTGACTCCCTGACGTGATCGTCTTAAAGTCAGTGATACCCAGAACGCAAAAGTTATTTGAACACCGTTGAAAGACTGATAATAACTTAAGAACTTATATGTATTACACTGCACATTAAGTACACTGCAGTATTAACGCAGTCTTTCGGAGAGCAGTTTAACTTGACCGTACACTGTAAATATTCTTGTTTTTTGGCCATTTCAATTTCAGAAGGAAAAGAAAACAAGCAGCGATTACAGACATTACAAATAGACAACGCATGGTCTAAAAAACTTAACTGTGTTAACTTGACGTTAACTACACTAAGTTTTGTTCAACTGTCGTACTTCGAGACATGAGCACGGTCGGCCACTGTATCATGTGATTAACCTATCAGTTTCACATGTCCCATGCAACATTTGTTAGCATGCAAGCAAGCTCTTGAGACCTCCTTTACATGTAAAATAAGAGATTCTAAGGGCAAACTTGCGAGAAACAATGCACGGAGCATTGTACTGACAAAGGCGTTGCCTCTTTGAGGATTGCTGGATGGGACGAAATTGAAAAACTACACTATGTACCCTTTTCGGTGTTTTTTTCCAAGTATGACTTACAGACTAATTGAAGAACTAACAAAAGAAAACAGTGTTTATCTTTGCTAGTCCTGGTCACGTATGCTCTTATGCCGCCAGCGCTCAAGCACGACTCGAGGCTTAACACTGATAGTTTATTTATCCTCCAGGGTTACACAAATCTGTAGTTTTGAGATTTGGAAGGATTAAACAACAGTGAAAAGTGCATGTGATGGCTTTGAATGTCATGTTTGTCAGCACACAGTCTAGCCAAAACTAATTGAGAAGAAATATGCGGAACGCCGGGGTGAAGGTTACTTAGGCAGATCACGGCTCAACATTTTACTTCGATATATTGGTGTGTGGGTTCTTCTTTTGCTCTGAACAAGCTATACGTTATGTGGCGTAACAAAACACTTCATGTGCGACCGAAAGAGTGAGAACCAAATCAGTATTTTAATTTTACGTTCAAGTCAATGCTTGTCTCTGATTAGACAGTAAATAACCCAATGATAGGTCCTTCTGAGTCGTAAATAAGTAGGTTATTTTTTAAGAACAAGTACTGATTGTGATATGTTAAGAGTCCTTTGTGTCAAAAGCACATCCTCATCGTATTTTATCACGCGTTGGTTTGCTATTGAATTTTTTATTGAAGGCCTAACTTGTTTGTTGATCAAAAACCACATAGCTGGAAAACTAGGGCAAACAAACGAGCGCAATGGCGGGCGGCAAGGTTTGTTTTGGACATCACGAAAATCGACAAGACACGAGATGTGTCAGAATGTTGGAAAACTTTGCCCAACAAGTCGCATTCAAACCCGCAATTAATTCACAAAACAGAGATTCTGTAGAGGGACTTGATGAAAGGGCGAAAACAATTACCCTTGGGATTACTTTCAATTAGTGCAAGATTTCCATAGAGCTTGTGTACACTCGCGCATGCGTGAATAGTGCTGATTCTTACATGGGACAGTTTGTGTTGGCGTGCTATGTTACCGGGTATAATTTGATCATGTGTTCGTCGTATGCCCCTCGCAGGACATTATTCTGAGATCGCCGATACTGGTGACATTATGTGCTTGATGAATCGTTCTATTGAAGTCGCGGGACAATACTCTAATGCTTCAACAAGAGGAATCCATGCTGCCCAATAGTGCAGGAGTACATGAAGGGAACCTAAGGCACAGCAAAAGTAAGTCCTTGCTCACTTGTTTATTTCACTGTCGGCGTGGAAATGTACACCTAAATCGCTGTGCATTTCAGTCACGAAAGGTGAGAGTCTTCGCGGGAAATTTTACCCGCGTCAATCGATGGATATGACTGTAAGATAGAATACACAGTGTGCCACTAGGATTTTTAACCTCGAGAGCAGTGTGTGTGAGATTAGAATGCAAAAAAGCAGTTTCGTAACAACCTTTTGCTTATTTCTAAGACGAGAGATTTAAACGCAGTTTGTTAGTCTTTTGACCGTCGCAAATTATATGTAATCTTTGTTCATCGCCGAAACAAGAGCGGCAAGACCTATTGTTTTGATAAATCTATCGCGTTACAACAGGTCCGCAAGTGGTTCTCAGCTTAGAATGGCCGAGAATTGATGACAAAAGACAGGCCTGTTTGTCGTGCGTTTTTGTGTCGTGTACATTGTACGCGCTAATGGTAAAAGGAAACGTTCATTGAAACCGGTGTCATTTCTGAAGGAAATTCATCTGGATTTCGCGTGCCCTTAAAAATGAAGAGACCGTTGACGCTTTTTCACTTCTTCAAAGAGAACTCGCAATGACGGAAAAATTGGTTAAACAAACACTGTCCAAAGAACTCGCGAACGAGTTACGCTTCTGTGCTTCCTTGACCAATTAGGGAGCCCTCACTTAATTCAAGTTCAAACTTCTTTTCACGGTGATGTGTAAAGAGTTCTATCGAAACAATAGTTCATTTGCATATATAACTTAACGATAAACACCATTGGGAATTGGCTTAAAAGTCTTGCTTAGCTGCTTTCTGATAAACACTGGATGTGAATGTTTAAAATGCTATTTAATTTGCTACTGAAGTTTTCGTTGTTGAGCAATGCATCGGAGACAACTCAAGTCGCGTTTATCCTTTTGATGGCCGGAAAGAACATCTTTGTTTGACGAAAAGCCTACTGTTATTGAAATATACACGTCTTATCGCTGACTTTATCGCTATACAATTTCATGACATTTGACATATCGTCAACTTGCTTTCAGTATTTTGTGTCCAAAAGTATGTATTAAGCGTTTAATTTCCGCTGTTTGCTTTGAAAAGTAAAGAGTGAATCTGTGGACGCTGTTTGGTGTTTTGGGTGGCAGTTCGTTGTGGGAGAGCAGTTTGGTACTGTACGTTGTCTTCGCCGGCTTCAATCCCTTTGATCTCACTGACTTTTTTTTGTACATTTTTGAAAGTTCACTTTGATTCTTGTTTTTCTGTCTGATATTATGAAAATTAGGATATACATGAAAATCGTTGTTCACACATAATTTTGACATGCACTGCAATGATTGTCACACCAAAAGCTGGACAGCAGCTTCTGTTGCGTGAAACGGAAGTTAAAATGTTTTAACCGGAAGTGACATTTCGATTCTGTCACGTCACGGTTTCACTCCCTGCACTCTCTCTTAATTTCTAGTTGAAATGATATCTTGTAATCTCCTAGGAATTTTCTTAGGGAGGGTAGTAAGATTCGTGTGGAAAATCTCTCCCGGTGGGTTTTAGCGGCGAACGTGTGTTTGTCAATATAATCCTGAACCGAGAATTTGTTTCCTTGAGTCACGTGACGAATTCAAGGGCATGCGCCGAGCGCGAAATTTGATTTGGCAAAAACGGTTCGGAAAGGAAGAAGATACCGTTTCAACGGCGTTACATCATTTCCTTTTCAAGCATGCTGGGTTAACTTTCGCTGAAACTTTTACCACATTTTTCTACTCTAATCAAGTGTGATATTGCCATGAGAATTCATTTGCCTGGTAGAGGAAAAGGTGAGCATGCAAGAGAAGCCATTGCTTCGCGGCTGGGGCCGCTGGGCCGCTAAAAGTTGTTGCGGTCACGTTCTGAAGTCGCTTTCAATTTCTTCTAGAACTTTCTCTGTACTCACTCAAATTCTTTGATTATTTTCGTAGAAACATCAATCAGTGGATATGAAAGGTAAGTACTCTTTTCAAGTTCTTGTAAGATTTATTGTGATTTATGTCGAGCTTTTTGCGTAAGCTAAGCCAGATTCAATTTATCGAATGCCAGTACGACTGCTAGTACTACAAAATGACAAATCTCGACATTGCACCCCTAATATTTAGTTCTCTCTTGGGAAGCTACTTTAGTTGTGAATTTTCAAGTGTTTTTTCGTTCAAATCGTTTGTACATATTTTATTGGCGGCGGCACTTGCGTAAGAACCGATCTAAAGTAAACAAACACGAACAGCTTCATTGTCGAGTGACGCGCAGGTACATTTTTGATGCTCCGAGGAACAGATGCGCGCCTTATAAACTCTGCGTATTAAATTTTCCTGAATTCCCTGAGGGAAAAATCCCTAGACAGGCGACATGATGTTCGGAACTGTTCAATCTTGATGGCAATATCGTTCGGGCACAAAAGGTGAATGTATATCCATTTACAGTAGTGGTTCTTTTGTAGTCTTTTGCAAAGGCGCTTCGAACACAGAATTTACGTTACTTTTGGCATGATCATTTACTCTTTCTTCAAAACCGATTCACAGGAGTTATATTTAAGCTTCCTTTTTGACGATAAAACTTTGTCTTCAATTCCTATATTCAAGACTTGTGTTTCGTTTCAAAATCTTCATTTTTCCCATCAGTCTACGTGCGAGATAAATTTGGATGGCTTAGTATACACGGTAAACAGCGACATCACAAACAAATGAAGTTGAAACTCAAAATACAAGGAAAGTTCTGAAGTTAGCTTTTTCAACTCGCGTAATAAAGGCAAAAGAGCAAGGAAAATGAAAGTTTTGGACCTTTATAAATATATTCTTTCTAACACGCTTGGTTTTCAGCTGCAATTTTGCAGCTATGAAAAGTCGCCACAGCTGAAATGTAGTCAGATCTGATTTTAACTCAAAAACAAAAACAGGAGCTATTTTGAGCTTTTGGTAATATTTTTACCACAGAACACAAGATAGATAAGTTCATTGTAATGTAAAATCTTGTACAAGATTAGGTTGCCAAACTACTGTTTAAATTAAATCGTTTTATATGATGTAATTTGATTAAGCCCGTTTTAGTGGGAAAATTGGGAATATGGACTGTGATGCAACAGGTGATGCGGTGATCTAGAAATCTTATTTACTGAACGTTTTTTTTGTGAAAACGATTTTGAGGCATCATTACTTTAAAGGATAAAAGCATAATTTTGTAAATACATGCCATAGTTGAGGACATTTCTGTCTTGCAGATTATGGAAGCTAAGTAGAAATCATCTGTCATTATTACAGCTGTGAATGAATCGCAAATTTTTTAAAATTCATCAACAGATTATTATTATAAATCAACATAAAATGATGAATGGGTTTGTACATGTGTGTACAATGCATATAAATTGCCGAATGTGTGTTAGATTGTCATAGCATTAAATTGAGAGCATATAATCCTACTATATATGCTCGCATATTGTTTCCAAAATTGCAGTGGCTGAGGAATTTTCTTTTGGAACATGAAGGAAAAGGCTATTTTCTGTTTGCCCAATTTTAAGAGGTTCTTTTAAAGTTCTACGCTTCCTGAATAGAGACAGGAATTAGAGCATTTTATTTTGAACTGATTTTGTGCCCTTTGTAATATCCAGTGCTATATAAATTTGTTAAATATATTATTATTAGTTTCCCAAACTGTGGCTTGAAGTTTAACCTACAGAAATTTCAACTTTAACTTACAACTCCAGCCTTGTTTGAATTTTATTCCTTACGCATGTGTATTTTTAGCTGGTCAAGGTAATGAGTGAGGGGTAAATGATAACCCTTCTCCAACCAATAATGCTTTCAATAAAATTATAATGTTTTAAAAAATGCATGGATTTTATTCTAAAAGAAGTACAAAATGTGACAGTGGTTGATTATGCAAACATGTTCAATTGTTATTGACCAACAATATTATAACAGGGCAGTGCTAATGATTGAATCATTTAGGATATTGATGAGCAGATAATGAACTACAGCAAAATATTTTGATATGCAAATTTGTTGCTCTATCTCTTGTATAATGTTTTTGTTCGTAAATAAAATTGTTGATTCTATACAGAGATTCATACTTAGATTAGTGAAAAATGTAAAAAGAACTGCAAAGTAATTCCAGTACTGTTTTAAAAATAGGACAAAATATTTAAGGCATGAGCTTAACAGACTGTGGAAAGCAATAGCTTTAATTTTTACGTCATGAAGTGAAACACACTCGCATTGTTTTTAACATGTGACAAGTGATTTTTGATTTTGATAACAAAAAGTTTCCATTCACAGTTTTAACTGAAGCTCCTGCATAATCCGAAGTTTGTTTCTTTTCAAAATGACGACACAAAATCAGCCATGTATGCAGCAAGAATAAGGTAATGATCAAGAGAGACAGTCTGTTTTGATGTAGACTAAACAAACTCTGATCTGATCAGATAAAATGTTTTCAGAGACCATTGAGCACAATTTGTATGCATGTCAGGGCTTTAAATGATTGAATCTTGACAAAATAGTGAAGTATACAGAATTCAGTTTGTTTTGGAGTTTTGGATTTCTCTACATAATAAATATAACTTCCAATAATAATAATAGCTTTTGTGTTGGTCTCACAATAGAAGGTTCTGTATCCAGCAGGAGCACTCATTGTTATGGATATGATTCGTTTGCTATTTTGGATTACAAATTGAATAGCTACCTCTGCTAATAGAAATTCTAGTCCGTGGGGTAAAGAGGATGTAGCATAATAAGAGTTTATCAAAACAGTTTGTTTGGATACCAGATTGATATTTGCCAAGGTCACACATGTGTAAAGTCCCATATTCAATATCTCTAGTGGATGAAATGATTGTAAAGTTCCTTTGATATGCTGGCACAAACAATTTCTGGGTATAGCTGCAGATTAAGTAGCAAGAGGCACAGTGTATCCACTTGCTTCTTTTGTCGAAGGTAAAACTGTGCATATGACAATGAATGAGAAAAAAATTGCAATGATTGATATAACTTGGAGTAGGACTTAAATTTAATTGATGTTGTGGTTAAACAGTGGCAGATTATAATGTTGAACTTCTTTATTATTGTTATTAATTTTTCATCACTTGCTTTGCATTTGTTCAGTTTGCATCTATTCCTGACTAAGTAAATATCAATGTTTAGTATTGCTTTAGATTGTAGGTGCATTTTATTCCTTGTGTGTTTAGCTGTCTTGGTAATGAAAAGAGAACTCCTGTGGTTTACCTTTTATGCCAAAGCAATTCTGTCAGGATTTAACATTGGCTTTTTTGCTAATTACACATGTTTACAACAGCTTTTTATTATGGTTTTGGCTGGGATCAGTGTTGTGTTTGTTTTCTGAGAAATTTTCACTGTCAGTGGTAGATGGTTTTTTTTAAAACAAATATTATTTCATAGGTTGAGTAATGGTTTGTAACATTTTACAGAGCTAACTAAAGCTGAACTTTTCAAAACTAAATAATTTAATATATAACTTTGAAGTGATCAAATATAGTCACAATTTCTTTATTTCTTCATACCAATGAATTTTGTTGTGGGAAGCCACAGAAAAGGGATTTCCAATCCACTTTATCCAGGGGTTTTATTAACGTTTTCAGCAGAAGGGCAACTGCTTGTCACAGGCGGCAAAATGTTTTGAACCGAACTTCTTTGTACGTAATTATACTTTCCCTGGATTATCAAGCTAGGCAGGGGTATTTATTACATGATTACATTTACCAGTAGAAGTTTTGGGGTATTCAAAGTCTGTTTTGGTAACTGTAACATCTGTGAATTAGAGTTTTGGCTGTAAGGTGGCCATTCAAACAATGCTCGACTGTCTAGAGTCTGCTAATCAATCCTGATCTTAACTGAACTTAAATGTTAGCATTTATCTTATTACATATTGTACTAGTCTAAATTTAAGATGGTGATGTTATTGAATGTGCATTATCCTATGATATCCTGAAACCAAAATGAAACTAGTATAAACTGACATACAACACATTTGAATTTTATAAAATGTTATTATATGGCTAGCTCTGTGAGCGGGCAAGATGAATCAAATCCTGGGCTGTGATTGGCTAACCACTCGGGACTACCTGCAGTGTCCTGCAAGAAAAATTTCCACGAAAGCCATATAATAAATCCTTTATTGACCAAGCTTGTTTGGTCAAGATGTCTTGATATTGGCCTTGTTCTTTTTTGCATGTTTATGGACCTCAACTCCGTCTCAGTCCATAAACATGCAGAAAAAGAACTTGGACAATATCCAGCCATCTTGACCTCATGCTTGGTCAATAACCCATATTTACGTAATAGCGTGGCTTGTAGATGCTAAAATTAATTGCACCTTACAAACATTTTATGCTTTTAATTCAGGGAAATACATCAATTTCACCTTTTGTTTGCCAAATAAATATACATCTGAATGAGACAATGCATGTCCTTCAAAACAAATTGAAACATTCTTGAAAAGTGTGTTAACAAAAGCCCAGATTTTAACATCTTTCTAGATTTTTCAATTGATTTTTTTTAGTTGTGGAGGTAACCTGAAATTCACACAGGTCAGAATTAATCAATATTAATTACCAACTGGACACCTCATAGTTATGTCATTCTTATCAGGGGTTTCTTTAAAGTTTTCAGTAGGAAGGCAATTGGTTGTTACAGATGGGGAAAAAATTTTGAGCTCCTCACAGCTGGTCAATTTGCCCACTGTACAGCCCTTGTTGAAACCCCTGTCTTATTATTGACAGTTAGTTCTGATTCTATGTACAGATTCAGACTACAAGCTAGGAAATACATAAAGAATTTTACTAGTAGGACCTACTTGTACATGTGGCCCATGGTCAAGCTTTAATTATGTTTATTTTAAGAGTCTTTAGCTAGGCTGTAATTGTTTTTCTGCTTGTCTGTCAGGCTAGTGAAAGCTTTGATTCTACCTGCCCAAATTGACATTCTCACAGAATTGAGTATTTTTAAAATTGGCAATGGACTTCTTGTTTTTCAAGTGTGCTAAGTACAGGGGTACACTTTATCCACTTAGCAGATTGGAAAATGGGCTTTATTTGCACCTCATGAAGTTTAAAATTATATTGTTTTGTTTTTCAGTGGGGAAGGAGATAACATTAGAGTGTACGTCCGTGTCAGACCACCAGATAAACACCTTGAAACAGATGTTGACCGTACACCATGTTTAGAAGTGACGTCGGGGAATACAGTGGTGCTCCAGTCTAAGCCTGATCCAAAAAACTTCTCATTTGATCATGTAGCTGATATCAATGCCACTCAGGTATTCATAATCCTTGGTGGTTTTAAATGTCAAAGGTGCAGTAATTACTGCATGCGTCTGCGTCATGCCGATCAATGTGGAAAATAATTGGGTCAAAAAATTGTGATGACTGCAAAATTGCCCCTGGCCTTGAGTCTATTTACAGACTGATAAATATTGAAATCCAGTTATGTCACAATCTGTTTAGGTAATGCTTTGATTTGTTAATTGTGTATTGTGTTTGAAACAATGTGCTGGTAGTTCTGCTAAATGGGGTTTAAGGCTAAAATGGAACTTGTAATTATCTGAATTAACAAATGTAGACAGTAGAAGTAAATGTGATGTTGATATCACTAGTCTAGTTTAGATATATGTGTTTGTCTTGTTTATAGATTCTCATGAGCTTCAAGATACAAATTAAGTCATCTCACCAGCTAGGAAACCTTAAAATGTGACCTCCTACAGTTTTGTCAGATATTGAAATGAACCTCAGTCTTCTGGTCAGCCTTAAAATGTTCTTAATCAGTCTTAAGTTTATAATCTCAGAGATTTAATTTTTGATGATGCATTACAAGGAGGTGTAGATGAACCATGTACATGTAAATTAAGCAGCCCATCCAAATGTTTATATGAATAGTATGTTTTGTTCTGTTTTCCATCAACATGAAAATTGTTGTTAATTTCATGAAATTAAAACTCTAAATTTATCTCAGTTGACAATTTGTTGTTTGATTATTTTTTTATAGGAAGAGGTATTTGGAGCAGTTGGAAAGAAGATTGTAGAAGGTTGTGTGGCAGGTTACAATGGAACTATTTTTGCTTAGTAAGTTTCACAATAACACACAGCATCATCCTTTTAATTGGGAGCTGTTTTTGTCATCTTATGCTTCACAGCAATTTCCTGTTCTCCCACAGTGAATATACTGTGAGACCCTCATTGTAAGTGGCTCCTGCTGGGCTACTCTTTGCCTCATTTAATTTAATATGTGACTGTAGGCTGAAGTCCTGCATCTTGATTTTAACATTTTCTTCCTTTCTGTACTGTTGCATTTCCCCTCATTAGCTGAGAACATGTTTATTTTATATGATTTCATTTTTGATTATATTATGCTTGTTTCTTTAGTGGCCAGACAGGTTCTGGGAAGACATTCACCATGCTTGGTAAGTCTAGTAAACAAGACTCTTTACTTAATATATGTTATGATAAATTATTGTAATTTGGTTCTGAAGAGTTTAGACTGTAAATTCCTTGAGGGCATGTTTAAAACACAAAATGGTGCAATGACAAAATGGTCCCCACTTAAAAAGTTTGTCTTGGTTACCCGTTAAGGACCAACTATACTACCGCCAAGCTACCATGGCTTTTAAATGCATTTCCGGACACGCCCCCAAATATCTGACGTCACAATTCATTACCCGCGAGCAAGTTACCAAGCGTACAACTAGGAGTGGCCAAAAGCTTGA